CTATAAAATCCTCCATGATCCATAAGGTGCTCTTCTCTGACCTAGTTTCCCACTATCCCTCCCCTCTCACGCTGGTCCCACCACACCGGCCTCCTTCTTTGTTATAAACAAACATTTGTTGGAAGACACCATACTCATTCATTTACATGTGTCATCTATGGCTGTTTTCTTGCTACCTTGCAGAGTGAAATAGTCACGACCCTATGACACACAAAGCTTAAGCTAGATGCTATCTGGCCATCAGAGACAAAAAGTTTGCCGGCCCCTTTTCTGCAAAATAGTTGTGGCTACATTTCACTGAGACTGGCCTTGAAAAAGCAGAAACTGCTGAATATCCTCCACACTGCATTTGGTGCTCAGCTTCTCAGCTCTTTTTGATGCGTGTGAGGGATAGAAACTAGGCTTCCACCAGGGGTCTAATGAAGCAGAGGGGATGACCAATGAGCAGCAATTTCTCACTGCCTAGGGTCACCTCTGAATGTGGGAATCAGAGAGAACTAGGTGACTGATGGGAGGAATATCCAGGCAACAGAGAAAGAGAGAGAGAGATGAAGCGAAACACAACTTCACTCCCTCAACAGTTCTCTAGGGTCTTTCTACATTTTCACTTCCAGAGGACAGAATTCTGCCTTCTAGTATTTAGTGAATTGAATTTTGTCCTTAGAGACAAGCACAGTGCTCCCCTTGACTTCAATGGGAGTCATGGGCCATTTGGTCCCCCAGACATCTGTGCTGGCTTCAGGCTATTTAACAAACTCCTAAACAAATCCCAATAAAGTGTTCTTTAATGGGTACTTAATTCTGGTGTGAGGGCGGGTGCTGGGCACACCTAAGTCCTTTCTTTTCCTTCAGGTTTACTAAGTTTTCTCCTTTTTATGTCTTGATAATTACTGCAACCAAAACCCTGAGTCAAGCAGTATTAAACCCACTCAAAGGCAAAAGATGTCTGCTTTTATTGATCTCAGTTGACCTGTTTACTCTCTGGGTTCCAATTTAATAGCTCAATTGATTATTCATTTACATTTTTAATTTCTTTGTGGGTAAAATCATTTTAACATGAGTCATTTCTAACTTAATGGGCAACATACAAATTCATTTGGGATTTTCAACTTTGGCAAGTATTTATTGAACAATTGGGCTCAGGTGAACTTAATAAGGATGAAAACCAGATTTCAGTTTCTTGTAAAAAAATGATAGAAAGGATTGAGTTTCCTCCTGTGCAAAATGCCCATCACTTCTGGGTGCTTACCTGAAATCAGAAGGTTGGTTAGAACATCAATTTCTGTGTTACCCTTTTACAAATTAGGTTTTGTCTAAATATAATTTGAAATCTATAATATTATGCTCATGCCTTTAGTTGAGCTCTTAAATCCAAAAGTTTTAATGTCATTCATCAATTTGTGTTCCTTCTAGATGGCTCTGCTTTGCTGGAGATGGTAGAAATCATGAGAAAAATTTGTACTATTGAGTGTATTACATAATGAGAAATAGTATGACTTTATTAGCTCATGCGATTATCTATTTACAAAGGTAAGCAACATGAAAGATCAGACTATACTTACATTTATAATTGAAGGGGAGCAGAATTTGCCAGGCAAAATGTGTCCCATTGGCATGGGGATTTTTTTTAAGACGTTTATTTTTAAGAAACAGCAGGCGCAGATGAAGCTCTGAAATCTGAGTAGATGTTGCCCTTTTGTAAGAGACGGTTACATGTATAAAAGAAACCTTTTTGTAAGGGAGATACTCCCTTACTGTACCAGAAAGAGAGGGGTGACTCAATCTCTAGAAATTCTTCTCAACAGAGAAGGCAGGGACTTAAACATGCATTATAATCTTGCCCTTGTTCACTGTGCTTTTTTTGATAATCTCCCATACCTGATTCCCCACCCCCAACATCTTTCATCTTTGGCAAAAGGTGGTTTTTAAGGTGATAGCTTAGGCCATTTCAGTAAGTTAACTTTGTTTTCTTGGGTCTCTCCCATGCTTATAGGTGGTATACATCTTATTAAACTTTGCTTTTCTCCTGTTAATATGTCTCATGTCAATTTCATTGCTTGACCAGCCAAAGATCCTCGAAGGGAAGAAGTGGAAACTTTCCCACCCCTACACATTATAATGTTCTATCTCAAGGTTTTTAAAATCTGCTTTTGGAATTTTTTTGATAGTACGTTTCTTTCTTCCCAGCAAGCAGGTGAAGCTTTAAGAATATGACTGCCTGTGGCTTATACTTCCCTGTAGGACTGTTTCGAATATATTTGTAAGTTATATATCCAATAACCTACCTTCACTTCTTTCTAAAATGAGATGAGGTATAAGAAAATATCTAAATGCATATTTCCAACTGTAAGAGTCACTTTTATCTGGCAACTTAAAATGCAACCAGAGTTTAGTGCAAAATAGAGGAGGCTTACTATCATCCTCTGATAAGTAGTAAGTGCCAGTGCTTGGTGAAAAGGACAGTGAAAAATGAAATACTATTAAAAACTTGGTAAGTGCTTTGCGTTATTAATTTTCACTAATAATTTTCTTAACCTTATTACCAAATGTGTAGATCAAGAAAGGAGCTAATTTTAAACCTTGGAGGAAAAAAATATGCAGAAAATAAACAGCATTATGCCTTGTACATGTAATACCTAAATAGTCCTATAGGCCATAATTGTGTTAGGTGGCAGATTATAAAAATAAATAAGATAAACTTCCAATGTTTAGGAATTCCTATTCTCCTACATGTGCAAACAGGTAATTGAAGCATGTAACATAATGCTTATATTTATGAAGTGCTATTGAACCCTCTGGTGGCCCCAGTGGGCTTTAAGGAAGAAGTGATATTTGAATGAGAGCATGTGGAATGAGGGACTTCACCGTCTTTGGGGTAGAGGGAGGATCACCCGTAGTAAGGGGCCAGCTTCAGAAAAGGAGAGTCAGACATATTACGTCTCCTCAGGGGAGAGAAACAAAAGCAAAAATAAACTATGGGGCCTATCCCAAAATAAAAACTTTTTGCACAGCAAAGGAAACCACTACCCAAACAAAAAGGCAACCTACTGAATGGGTGAGGACATTTGTAAAGGCAATCTCTTGTAAGGGGTCAATACCAAAATATATGAAGAACTTATACAACTCAACACCAAAAAAAAAAAAAAAAAAGTAATCCAATAATAATAATTAAAAAAAGAGGGCACAGGACCTAAATAGACAGTTTTACAATGAAGACAACCAGATGGCCAACAGATACATGAAAAGATGCTTAACATCACTCATCATCAGGGGAATTCAAGTCCAAACCTCAATGAGACATTACCTTAAACCAGTTAGAATTGCTAGTATCAAAAACATAAACAAATAATAAATGCTGGTGAGAATGAGGAAAAGAAGGAACCCTCATACACTGTTGGTGGGAATATAAATGGTGCAGCCACCATGGAAAACAGTATGAAGTTTCCTCAGAAAATTAAAAATAGAAATGTATGAGCTAACAATTCCACTCCTGAGTATTTACACAAAGCAGATGAAAATGATAATTCAAACAATATATGTACTCTTCTGTTTATCACAGCCTTATTTAAAATAGCTAAGATATGGAAACACCCCAAGTATTTATTAATAGATGAATGGGATAAAGATGATGTGTATGTGTATATATAATGGAATATTACACAACCATAAAAAGAACAGGATTTGTGACAACACAGATGGACCTAGAGGGTATTATGCTAAGTGAAATAAGTCAGACAGAACATAAAAATACCATATGATTTCACTCATATGTGGAATCTAAAAAACAAAACAAATGAACAAACGAGCAAACCAAAAAAGCAGACAGATCCATAAATACAGAGAACAATCTGCTGGCTGCCAGAGGGGAGGTGAGTGAGTAGGGAGATGGGCACAATGGGTGAAGGGTACTGGGAGGTACAGACTTGTCACAGGAGTAAGTCACAGGAATAAAAACACGGCATAAGGACTATAGTCAATGGCACTGTAGTAGTGTTGTATGGTGACAGATGGTACCTACTTGTGGTACCTACTTGTGGCTCACCTACTTGTGGTGAGCACAGCATAATGTATAAACCTGTCGAACCACTATGTTGCACACCTGAAACCAATGTAACACTGTGTGTCAACTATACTTCAATAAAAAAAGAAAAGAAGATTCAGATGAAGTTGGGGGTAAGGAATGATGGACTCTTCATCCTAGCTGATGTGAGGTACAGGGAGTAAAGGGAAGACGGTGCTGGGGTTAATGGAGATGAAAGGGACGAGATGGTGAACATCTTTAAACTAGAAAGACTTGACAAAGGAGAGTCACCAGCAGAATGTAACTGAATAAAAGGGATCCTCAGTCCTTTTGAAATGTGACAAGAAGACAGAGGGGAAAGGTGCTGGCCAAAGAAACTTGAAATGAAGGCAGATCAGAGGACGTGTCTAGTGAGATGGGGGCTCCAAGCATCACATTTCTGTTCTGATCCTAAAATAAACAGGTGGAACAATGCAAGCTTTATTAAGGGTTTGTTACTGGGGGTTCTCAGTCCCTTTCCCATGAAATGGGCAACTGTACTGAGTTAGCCTCTAACTGGATTCCTCGTTAACCTCCTTTAGAAACGTTTCTAACATGTAACATGTACACAGTTACTTACAAGTTGAAAGCATACTTCGTAGTAATTTTCCAACTTTCTCTGCATTATTTAAGGAAGGGAGTCATGGTCACGGTCTTAAGAGAGTTGGGAGAAATGAAATCACATCTTTAATATCAATAAGGTGATATTTCTTTTAAAACATCCCCTTAAATATGATGATGGAAGGATCATCAGAAAGGATCCACAGGAATTAGATAGACATGGAGATGTATGGCATTCTCAAATTAGAATACTCCATTCACCTCATAAAAAAGAGCATTTTCACGTACTCCACCTGATGAGTTAATGCCTCTAGAACACTCCGACTCCCTTTGTTCAGACCAGACATGGCCAGGTGAGGTTCCTGTGTGAGTCCCCTACCTGTGCTGTCTTCATACACCACTGTCACTGTTTTCCAGTTGTAGTAGAGGACCAGATCCAGGACCGCCCTGCTGATAGCTGCATAATCTGGGTACAGGTTGATGTAAAACAAGTCTTTGTTGTCCACCGATGGGTGTTTCCAGCGGGTCTGTATGTGTGGAACTTCGAGAGCATTGCAAATTGACTGCACGGCACTGACAGAGGAACTGTGGGAAGGGCCAAAGAGAGCAGCCACACCAAGAGCCAGCTGGTCGCAGGCTAGTGGCCACAGATGAGGAGGGGTTGAGAGGGAGGGCAGGGAAGGGGGGAGAGAGAGAGAGGGCTGTGAATTCCATCTTTCCTTCCATGATCCCTCTTTTTATTTTCATTACTGGAAATTCTCCACTCTCCATCTGTATGTTGAGAAATTATGCTTCATCCAACTTCCAATATCCCCGAGATGCTAAAATATTGAGATATTTGAATGTGGAACTGATTAGCAACACATCACAGGGCCAACTCTGTGCAATCAAAAATAAGTGGCTGTTCTCACACCATTACTTCTAAATCCCTTGCCTGGCATGGCGTAACCCACGGGGGCTCAGAGCTGCTCTACAAGCTACTGGCCAAGGGAATGTCATGTGAATGAAGTATTGTCCTATGGCAGGGTGACAAGGAGGATATTAATGTGGTCAGAGAATTCAGAAGATTCTCCGGGTGGCTGCAAAAGCACTTCAGTTGCCATCTTCCCAAAACTCAGAAAGGGATTCCAGGCTATTGAAAAACTGCTAAGGAATAGTAAGTGATATTGATACCTACTTAATTATAGAATATTAACATAACATAGCTTAAAGGGATCTCAGAAGCCACGTGGTCCAACCCACTAATACCATAGACCATGAAGTGAGTCAGGGCCACCAGGTAAGGGCGGAACTCTACCAGAGGCCAGGGGCCAAGCTCAAGGACAGGCCTCTCCCTGTTTCAGCATCAGCCTAACGAAATCGAGTCAGTATAAAATTTAATCTATAACATTTATTTGGTTTTCTCTTTATAAGATTTTATATACTCATTGAGAGAATTTAGAGTATTTTAAAGCATAAGGGAGAAAAAAAAAGACCCTATAATTCCATCATCTTAGAATAATACCTCTTCATATTTTGGCATTCCAACTTATAAAAAATTGAATCTCTGCAGACACAGGTTGATACGTTGCTTTCTTTAACACTGAATTTAACACTAAAAACACACCCTTTCCCCCAAGTCATTACAGAGTCTTCGAAAGTATATTTTTTTGTGCCTGTAGAATAGCCGATTCCATGGCTATGCCATCATTTATTTTACTGTTCTGATGATATTGAACCTTTAAGCTGATCCTAACGTTTGTTATTATAACTAATATTATAGTATTTAGTTGTTATATTTTTCTCTGAAGTTTACATTACTTTTTTAGAGTAGATTCTCAGCTATAATTAAATTACTAGATACATATTAGGCAAATTCCCTTCCAGAAAGATTGGGACCAGTTATCCTCTACAACCGTGCAAAATAGGGTCTACTCTCTTCATGCCGATATAAATTTATGCTGGCATTATATAGAAGTTTATAGTATCTCATTATTTTAATGCTAATTTTAAAAAGTTTGGAACTCCCAAGAGATAATAATTAAATATTTGAATTAATTAATAACAAAATTTTTAAATGAAACTGTGTTAATTTTTATAGTAATGTTGTTCTACAAATAAAAATAAGTAGAAAAATTATATGGCTTTGTCAAAATGATCTGACTGGATCTAGAGAGAAAAAATAATAAAATTTTGAAAACCATATTTCAAATATCTACGGTACTGCAAATGTTTACAGTCATTCACAAGGAAAAACTTTCTCATGTTGTGCTCTTTGGCACTGAATTACTACATGAGATATGAAGACATATAATTTTCTGCATTAAGTGCTGTAAGTGTAAATTGCCATTGTCTATGGAAGCTCATTTCCTGGATATGTTTTCATTGGTAACAAAATGAGAGCATGAGAATGTGTGAACTGTTGTTTTGTCTAACATGGGCGATGGATTGAGATGCCTGCTAATATTTAGCTCTGGGATGCTAATATGACTTGACAGAAAATCAATTTTTTGAATTCTGTTTGCCAGCAAATTACCAGTTTTAAGAAGCTTTGGGGGTGTTTAATTTACAAGTATGACAGGTACTTGAGACCACAGAAAAGCTTTCAGTTTTATGTGGGTTGAAGTATCATTGTTAAATGTGTTTGCCTGTCTAAGGTATTTGCTCAGCAATGTTTGTGTGTGCATGTGTGATAGAGAGCCAAGACAGAGACAGAGAGACACAGACAGAGATAAAGACAGAGATCAAAAGACAGAGACAGACAGAGAGAGGCAGAGGAGGAGAGAGATCAAACCCATAGAAATAATTTATGTGAAGATGACTTTGAAGAGCTGTATAAATAGAATTTTATTATTTGTTCATAGGTAACGCTGACCTATGTAGTATCTGCAATTCCATCCATCTTTAAAAAGAAAATGTTCTTATACTAAGGTCATGCCATCGATCAGAAGAAGAATCATTATACTGTTTGCTTTTCATCTGTGCTGCTAGGAAAACACTTTACCTTTTGTTTGTAAAGAGCACTAGGAATCCTGCAGAAGAGTGTGTAAGGTGCACACATCTCATGATGCTGAGTTAATTCTATGTGGAACAACCAATATTAGTTCCTTGGAAATCGGCACAACCATGGTGTTCATTGCATTCCATTTATTTGTGTGTTTTTAACTGGCAAAACATTCCTCTATGAGGGAAAAAGACTCTTCTCCTATGGAGGTTGCTGAGTGGCCTTGGTGTCCACAATAACATCTGCATGGAGTCTCAACAGCTCCCTGGTTAGAGGCCAAGTTGCGAGTGTATTGAATGTGACTGTACTTTGGAGTAGTCTCAGGAGTGTTTGGGGGACATCTAAACAAGCCCCACAATCCCAACGGCTCTTTCCAGGACAGAAACCTTGCAGCCTATGTATAAAGTAGATTACTTTTTAGGACCTTGTCTTCTTGGAAGAAAAAGAGAATCAGGAAAAAAAAAATGCAGAGATTGTCTCCTAGGTTTAATTTTTATATTTTTATGACTTTGTGAAAAGGACTTTTTAAAAAAAAAAAAAGTTGAGAAAATCCTAGGTAAACCCAGTAGTTTACAACCTGTTAAAATTCAGGGTGTGAGTTATGTGCGTTGTGGACATTTCCACATGCTCGGTGGATATGACCTTCCACGAAGTTTTATTTGACTGTGCTGTACAATTTCATGGTGGTATCTCAGCCTCAGGAAGGAAAAACAGATCAAGCTTGACATTTTCCATTCACAGCTGAACCAGTTAATCATAGAGTGGAGGGCACTGAAGGGTGAGCTAATCGGAATGGCCCAGAAAACAGAGCTAGGCAACATCCATTAGGATCCTTCAGATTGTACTGGACAGTGACATCAAGGACCGAGATTTCCTGCAACCCATTTACACAAAGATGTCCACTCTGACAAAGGACAGGTAGCAAAAACGGTGACTTGTGGAGCAGACACATCACCCAAAAAAGCTTCGAAAAATGGGAAAATAAAATAGTTACCTCTCCGCGAGGCTTCAAAACTATCAAAAAGATTAATTCTCTGGATGTCATAGGTTAACGTGGTGTTAGGCATCAGGGTTCGATTTCTGTTAATGCTGGTGACTGCGAACTTGAATGCTAATTCTTCAACATTAACAGGTTCGTTTTCCACAGTTTCAAAAATCCCTCCTGCAGAAGCAAAAGAGATGCATGAGAAGCATTAGTCACATCATTCCTGTGTATTTTTTAAGAAGAATATTAATGATTCAGACAAAAGGCCCTCCAAAATAAATGTGGTAATGGTCAGAACAGATCCCAAAACCAGTGTTAAAAGTTTATCAGCATGTGTCACATGCACAGAAATAGGTCTTCATATGAATGCCTCGGTTTTCAAATCCAAAGTTGGACTATATATTACCTCTCAGGTGGCCAACATATTCCAAATATTTAATACCACGTCAAGCATAACTGACAACATGGTGGAGAGTGATTTTCCACAGTTTGGACATGAATCACACCGTGGTTGACCTAAACATAATTTGAGCTGTATCTGGTAAGGACCATCCCTCTTCAGAATGAAGCTCTTTTGATTCAAAAGCAGACCTTTTAGACTCTAGATAGATCATTCAGAGAGTTGAGTGGGGTCAAAACGAGACATACATACACTTAAAATTTTCAAAGTAAAAGCACTTCTTCTTTTCTTATCACTCAAAATTCTGAGGTCATATTCTAGCACTTTCCAAAGTGCACAGGCAGATTAAAAGAACTGTTGTTTGTTTTGTTTTGAGAAACTGTTTGGTCTGGCCCCAAAGCAAGCCTACATCCCATCTCTAGAGAAATATGCTTCTCCCCTAACAGAGAATATGCACCAAATCTTTGATATCTCAAACATGAGGATCTCTTCACAGGAGGCAATATGAAATATCAGTGCTTAAAGCCTCGTGGGAGAACTCATCTCTGACTTTGCTTGACATGGTGATATTAGTAGATGTAATTGGAGTATTTTTAACTGTACATTCTTAATTTTTTTAATAGACACAAGACACACAGTAGAGTCTCTCTTAACTGACCTCTACTTAACTTATTCCTTGATTGACCAATACTCCTAATTTCCCTTGAATAAAGCATTAACTGGATTCCATGGAATGCTGAATACTTATAACTAGGTCTAACCATTGAGGGACCTCTTACTGAGGGTAAGTTGTAGGTTTTTTCCAAACTTGGTTATGCCAGATTGATTTGCAAACACTTCAAGTTCTCTCTACACTCAAAAGAAAGAAGAAAGAAAGAAAGAAAGAAAGAAAGAAAAAAGAAGGAAGGAAGGAAGGAAGGAAGGAAGGAAGGAAGGAAGGAAGGAAGGAAAAAAATACGGGAAAGAAAGAAGATAAGGAAAAGGAAAGGAAGAAAAGAAGAAAAAGAAAAGAAAAGGCAAAGGAAAAGAAAAGGAAAGGAAAAGAAAGAAAAATCTAAAGTTGAAAATCTCAAATAACCATCACAAGCAACTGTATGATTTACGTGTATCCTTATAAAAAGAACTCTAGTTGGCAAACTGTAATTTAAAAAAATTACTCTGATTTTATTTCGGAAAAACTAAACAAATACACATCTATAATATTTATTATAAATTCTATAAATTATTATAACATTAATTATAAATTAATTATTATTTTGCAATTTCCTGCTCACTTGATTTTCTGTATTAAATAACAAACTACAATGTCAGGTTGCAAAAGCTGAGAAGGTTCATACGAAATTACTTTGGCTTCCTTTGACAATATCTCTGGGTTTTAGACTGATGATATGAGATACTCTTGTAGAGATCATTTCCCTGTTCTCTGAGAAACCAAAGTTGAGCACTGTGTGACCATGGTATGAGATCATGTTAACCTTTACCTACAGATTCTTACTGGACACTTATTCTGAAGTCAATGTTAGGAAAAATTTTGCTCTTAAGTGACCTTATCTATGTATTTATTTTTCTTTTCTCAGACAATGGTGAGACAGGTGGGCAAGCTTTTAGTTCTCTCAGACTGCTAAGTGGATTCTCCATAGTGCAATGGTAAGCTTGGATAATAGAAGAAGACAGATAGGAAGCTGACCCACAATCAGAATGACCCAGACTTAAGTTCAGAAACTGTGTGGTGTTAGGGCTTCCACAGTAATTATTAGCATTTTTTTTTTAATTTGTCTATCTCTTCAAGCACATGGTGAAAGAGAAAATGCGTCTTATACAGAATCACCATTCTTATGGAGATGAAAGTAACTTAAAATGTTCAGCCTATAACTATTTGGGAGAAAGATCAGTCATTGGCTCAAATGTAAGCATCACTTATTTGCATAAGCAGGCTGGTAGGAGGGACTACATACCAGAATGGGAATCAGAAATTCTGAATTTTGGACCTTGGTCCACCCACTTCTTTTTTGAGAAAGAATCTTAAATATTGGGAAGAAAGTTACCATGAAATAGCTCCTTGGTAATATTTCATTTAAGCCTTATAACATTCCATATATGAGGTAGCATTTCTGTTTTTATATATGAAAAAGTGAACTGAGAGATCACACACTTTGCCTAGCTTATTCAAGTTCTCTAAGCCTTTTCTGTGACAAACTCAGGTGTTGGATTCTCCAATCTATGAACACATAGGGCAATGTAATAGAGAATATATATATTCTCTATATAGAACTATGTATAATTGATTTATATACATTATAATACGTAGTGTTATACATATGTATTCTCACTTTGTCAATTTATTTCTGATGTCCTTCATCTCCAAGTGTGGTTTAATAATGCTTCTTTTCTTACCTTAGAGGATTTCTCTGTGTACGGAATGTTATAATGCATGGATGGTGCCCTGAAAACTCAATCATTCCCCAGAAATAAGTTAGTATTATTACATGTGGATAAAGAGGAATTAGAAATTGTTGTAAAACTGCCTACTCACCTCAAAATTGTTCCTTTGGTATATAGTTGTCTTTTACATAAAGCTGAATGTCCCTGAGTTTAAGATAGTGACAAGTGTTTTTATTATGTGATTATGTGGTGAGTAGGTGAACTCTGTTTTGTCATTTTGGGGGCAATTCTCTTTCATTCTGGCACCAAACAAGCATTACAAATGTCATTAGCTCAACATCCCACCACACTCTCCTTTTTCCCTTAGGAAGGGCTGCTGCTGAATACCAAAACCCTGCAGTGAAGTGAGGCATATAGAGGGCTGAGGAAGTACCAGGAAAGTGCAATCTGATAGAGACAGGACAGTCATTGATGGGCACTATTCCAGTTCCTCCTAAGGAAGCAGACTTTTAAGCATTCACCATTTCCTCATAGTTTCAGATTTGACAAAACTGAACCTCAGAGTCTTTGATAGAGGGACACACACCAAGGGACTCATGCATGATTTAAAAAAAAATAGTGTTTATTTATTTTTCGAGAGAGTGATTGACAGAATGTGAGGAGGGGAAGAGCAGAGAGAGAGAGGAAGACACAGAATTTGAAGCAGGCTCCAGGCTCTGAGCTGTCAGCACAGAGCCTGACGTGGGGCTCAAACCCACAAACCGTGAGATCATGACCTGAGCCGAAGTCGGACGCTCAACCGACTGAGCCACCCAGGCGCCCCATGGTTATTTTTTTAATTTGTGGGTGTGGGGTTCTCAATGAGATATTTCAAGTCTTTGGGGCTCTGTATGTAGTCAGTTTCTGGCCTCAGTCATCTGTACGCTTGGATCTCCTGGTTTCAACAGGAGGAACTCCTACCTGGGTCCTTCCTCTGTTCCTCTTCCTTCTCTGTTCTTCCCCTCCCTTTGGCCCTCCCCCTTGCCCTTTTCTGTCAAGGTCAGTCTCTCTCTCTCTCTCTCTCTCAGTTTCTCTGTTTCACCCATCCATGTGAAGACAGAAGAGAAGGCAGCTGTCTACAAGCCAGGAAACATGTCCTCAAAGACACCAGCTCTGTTGATGTCTTGACTTACACTTCCCAGACTCCAGAACTATGAGAAATAAGTTTTTGTTGTTTAAGCCACCAAGTCTGTGATATTGTCATGGCAACCCAAGCTAAGATATACATCTTCATTTTTTACCCCAAGGGCTTTGAAATCGAAACTGGACAATTATAGTGGAAATCACATCTGTGCATGTAAAATTATCTTCCAATAGGGTTCTAAATTTGGTACAGTGGTTTAAGGTAAGCAGAGAAAAACTCACTTGAAATCTCAATACGGATTTAGGCAGCAGAGTTCCATCACCACAGGTGTGTTTCTGCCTCTGTTGGGTAGATTCCTGCATCAACAAGTCCAGGCTAAGACAGGTGGTTTTGTTTTGTGACCAAATGGACACAGATGGAAACCAGAGATGATTACATCCTGCACAGATTACAGGTTGCCTTTAAGAAGGCCAAGTAAGAGCTTGTGGTTTGTGCCACGTAATTCTGTCTAGACTTCCAAGAGAATTGGTTTTAATCACAAACTCACTGATTGTTGGGTCAAAAAACATGATCATTTTAGGCAAGAGGTAGTACTTAGTCAAGGCTAAGACTGACTGCTGTCCTGTTTGCAATGATACCTAAGGTAAACAATGGTTTCCACATTTTTCCTAGCCCCTATCCCATTTGTGCAGAATCATAATGTTATGGGATGGAGTCCAGAAATTGTCTGTATTTGAAAAAGACCCAGCTTGGCTCTAGGTCCCATTGCTTGCTTGCTTGCTTGATTGATTTTTTTAGGTTCCAGGGATACTTAATAATCTGCTTCCTAATGTTCCTTCAAATCACCACCTTCATCCAAAGACCCTTCCCTCTAACTCTATGCCTACAACATTGTAATTCAGTTAATGAGCATTTATTTGGTACTACTCTGGAGTGTGTATTTTTTTTTCCAGGTGAGAGCTGTGATTAGCCCTGACAAAAAAACTGGGTGGTCACTAGCTTTCCACAAAGCAGGGAGTTAACACAGTTAAAGTCAGTGTGGATATAACATGGTAGAAAAGGAGGCCCCTTTTACAGGCATCTTAAAGAAAAGCAGTTCTACCCTTGTCTATTGTTTCCACACCTGCTCCCTCTAAGTAGAGCTTGTGCTGGATGATGAGTGGGCAGTATGAGATTTGCCCCTTCTTCCCAAAAGGAATTTAAGAAAAGCAAAGCTACATTGTGCTAGGGAATTCATCTTGCTTGATGATGAAAAGAAAAGAAAAGAAAAAA